CCCGGAGCTGTCGGATCTCGAAGTCTGCGGCCCGTCGCTCGCGTGAAAGCACTTGGAGATAGTTTTCTGCCGGAATTTGAAATCGTTTCGAGTTTCCACGCCGAGGCTTGCGCGTTTCTGGGTCGCGACGTACGACGGATTGTTGATTGGGAACTTGCCGATGCTGGTCGAGATTCGTACTCAGTGTAGAGACGATGACGTTCGCTTGGGACATTTGTTTTCGACACTTTCGACCAGTTCGCGATTGGAGACTCTTCGTCTGAGGCTGCTCCAATCACCGGTTGTTTATTAATTTTTATTAATTTTTTTTTTTTTCGGGTGTACTTAACGATATTTGTGATTGATTTCGCAGGAAATGCATGAGCTGCACAATCTTTCTCTACTGCCTAAACTGAAGAAGATGGTCATAGAATATATTGAAGATGGCCGCCGAAATATTTTTCGACTCTCTGATTTGATAAGGGCATCGCCTTTCTTAGAGGAATTTGTTCTAAAGGTACGCAGTTAAACCTCTATAAATTAATACAGGTTCAGGACTAGCATAATTCTATTAATTTAACAAGATTATAATAATTTAATATATTTTCACCAAGTCGGAACCAGAAAAAAAAAAATTTATTCAAGCGAAGTTATTAATTTATCGAACTTCTACTGTATGTGATTATTTGTTTTCTCCCTAATGCAGTATAAATGTGCGTATATTCCGAATAACGAAGTGGAGGAGGCTATAGTGTCGTCTCCACACCACCACCTTAAGGTGGTGAAATTTTCCGGAGGTTTTGGTCGGACTAATTATCTTCGATTTGTCGACTACATTTTGGAGAACTGTCTTGTGCTTGAGAAAGTAATTGTCGATCCGTGTTCCGGAACATTGAACCTTATGCTTGATAGTACAAATTTCGAAGAAAATGTAAGAAAGAAAGCAAAGCAACACTTTGAAGCACGAGTTCCTCAGCACATTGAATTGGTTTTTCTTTAAGTTGGATTATTTAGGCATCTTGCATTTTTTTTCATATTTAGATTGGATAATTTGCTCTATTTTTATTATGTTGAGTTGTTTTAATACAAAAACTAAGAAATACATGTTGCTGCCATAGTTAGGGTTCTAAAAATCGACCGAGGCGGTTCAAAATCATTTCGATTTTAGTGTAAAAATTTGAAAATTCGGATTTTGGCCTATAAGGCGGTTTTGGTAAAAAGGATGATTTATCAAAACTAGATTGTCAAACTCTTACGATTTACGATTCGGTTAATTGATTTGTTTCTTATTTTCAACATTCCAAATTTGAATCGTAGGAAAAATTAATTAGACCCGACTCCAATACTTGTTTTCTACTATTGCAATTTTATATGATCGAAGGCTTTGATTTCTTAGTCGATATGTTTTATTTGGACAAACTACAATTTCTCTTTTTTAATAGTTGCCCAATTTTTACAGTTTGATATTTTGGGGAAAAAAAGATCTAAAAAATACTTTTATATGGCCAAAAATTGCTCATTGTTCAAGATATTTCATTTTGAGGTATTATATGAAAATCTATGTTTTTTACTTATTAAAAAAAAAAAAAAAAATGATAATAGAACAATAACATTGTTGTTGATGAGTGAAGAACACGTGTTGCACAAAGTGT